GAAGGGGGGGGGGGGGAGGGAATAAATAGTGCACCTTCAGTAGAGTTCTAGAACATATTCTGTGTAGTCCAGCAGGGAGCTCATGTGTATTCTTCACTTACTGGCTGTTGATCAGGAGACAGGGAATGTCAGTAAGCCAGGGTCCCCCAGAAGACTGGAAAAGGGGATACTTTGACTCATTCTACTCAAAGCATACACACCTTGGAGAGAAGGGCTCTGAAGCCAGATTAGAGGAGGAGGGTTCTACGCACGAAACTCAGTGTCCACTGAATTTCTTTTTCCAAGAAGAGCTAGACTTTTCTTGCACACATGAAGGGTATAGTGTTACTCTGTCACATTTTATCCTAAGAGCCAGCTGGCCACACTGGGTCTTACTTTGAGTCTTGATTCCTTAGTTGCGCTGTTTGCTGTACTCTTCAAGGAACCGAAAAGTGTCATGGTTTTTGTTTGTTTGTTTTAAAGCCTTTGGTGAAGTTGGAGGATATCGGGGGCTGGTGAAAAAGTACTTGGTCGCCATCCCAACTAGGACCCAAGAGGGGAACTGGACTGCCAAGACACAGTGCTACATGCCTCGCCAGGATGCTTTCCGTATCTTCCGAAGCGTTGTCTCTGGAGACATCCCCTGGCCTGGACTCATCTTAGGCACCACTACTGTCTCTATGTTCTATGGGTGTGCCGATCAGGTAATTAAATGCAAGTTCACGGAAGTGACTGTCCTTTAATGTCCCTGTAGACAGAGGCCACTGTGGCTTGTTCATGGTTTGCCCTTTAATTTGTATTTGTTGCCTCAATAACATACCCCCCCAGTCGATATAAACAGTAAAACTTATCCTTGTTTAAATGTTTATAATACTTTAGCCCCGATAATGCCTTTTTGAAATATTCTCTAGCTTTTGTGATTTGGAGACTGTCCAAATCATGACCAGTCCCTGTCTTAGACATCAACTTCTGTCTTAGTTAGGGTTTCTATTGCTGTGAAGAGACATCATGCCCAAGGCAATTCTCTCTCTCTCTCTCTCTCTCTCTCTCTCTCTCTCTCTCTCTCTTTCTCTCTTTTTCTAAAGATTTATTTATTTATTATGTATACTACATTCTGCTTCCATGTCTATCTGCACACCAGAAGAGGGCACCAGATCTCATTGTAGATGGTTGTAAGCCACTGTGTGGTTGCTGGGAATTGAACTCAGGACCTCTGGAAGAGCAGTCAGTGCTCTTAACCTCTGAGCCATCTCTCCAGCCCTCTCTCTTTTATTTAAAAAAAAAATATTTATTTATTTTTACTTTATTTGCATTGGTGTTTTACCTGCATGCATGTATAAGGGTTTCAGATCTCGGAGTTACAAACAGTTGTTAGCTACCATGTAGGTGCTGGGAATTGAACTCAGGTCCTCTGGAAGAGCAGTTAGTACTCTTAACCACTAAGCCATCTCTCTAGTCCCCCATCACCACCCTAAACCATGGCAACTCTTACAAAGGAAAACATTTAATTGGGGTGGCTTACAGTTCAGAGGTTCGGTTCATACCATCATGGTGGGACATGGTAGCATGCAGGCAGGCATGGTGCTGGAGGGGTAGCTGAGAGTCCTACATCTTGCAGGCAACAGGAAGTGGTCTGTAACACTGGGCAGCATCTTGAGCATAGGAGACTCCTCAAAGCCCGCCCCCACAGTGACATGCTTCCTCCAACAAGTCCACACCTAATCCATCAAGGCCACATCTCCTAATAGTGCCACTCCCTTTGGGGGCCGTTTTCTTTCAAACCACCACTATCTCTCCAGCCCTACTGATATCTTTCATACCTATGTCTCTCTAACCCTGAATGGCCCAAAGATGTATGGATGTAGGCTGACCATCCTAGCAAACCCACCAGGGTACACAGTCTGCTGTTGCATCAGACACGAGTATCTTACTTGTTCTGAGAGAGCCTGACCCTTACACACCACTGACTCCACCCACTTGTCTTTCCCTGACAGGTTACTGTCCAGAGGTTCCTGGCAGGAAAGAACAGGCTTCATGTGAAAGCTGGCTGCCTCTTGTTTGGGTACCTGAAGCTGCTGCCCATGTTCCTCCTGGTGATGCCAGGGATGATCAGCCGCATCTTGTTCCCAGGTGAATTCTTGATCCTGACACACTGTCTTAGAGATCTGGGAATATTTGAAGTGCTGGATTTTCCTTAGTATATTAGTTATTGGAATTGCCTCAATGTGGTTGAGCAGAAACTCTTGAGATGCACAGCAATACAGAAACCCCAAGGTGATAAGAAGGGCAAGAACAGATCAAAGCACCCCCCCCCCCCCACCATGAGACTGTCATGTTCCTCCCAGGCAGAGGCCCAGTTACAGCTTTGGGACAGTCTTCAGGAATTTGGGTTGCTCTGTCACTTCACAGACTGTATGATGTATGCCTGTTTGATGTAGTTTCTCACAGGCCTAGACTGAGCATTTAGAGTACTTGTTGAACTCACGAGACATTTTGCAAGAGGCTGATGTGGAGAGAAAGACTTGAAGGAAGGCCCTCATTCTTTCTACTAAAAGCTATTAACAGATCTCCTAATGAGTGATCAGAATTCCATACCTGTAAAAGGAGTCCTTAATTAGTCTAGATAATAAAAGGCCAGGATCAGATATAGAGGGAAATGCTGAGAGATCAGAGAGAAGGAGCAGCCACAGCACACCTTAGCTCCCAAGCGTCTCCGCAAAGAAGAGAGCGATTTCCTGTAACCCTAACCCTAACCCCCTGACAGTACTCACTATCTGACTTTTACCACTTACACTTTTAGCCAGTCAAAATCATATTACAAAAGAAACCAATTTTAACAAAAAACTTTATATTTCCATGCTTGTAACTCTGCAAACTCTTCTAATCATAACATTTTCAGCAAGTGAATTAATCATAGTTTATATTTTATTTGTAGCTACTCCTTTTTAAAAAGATTTTATTTATTTATTATGTATACAACATTCTGCTTCCATGTATATCTGCACACCAGAAGAGGGCACCAGATCTCATAACGGATGGTTGTGAGCCACCATGTGGTTGCTGGGAATTGAACTCAGGACCTCTGGAAGAGCAGTCAGTGCTCTTAACCTCTGAGCCATCTCTCCAGTCCCCCACCTTGTAGCTATTCTTATTCCAAAACTTATTATTATTACTTGATGAGGCATTCAAACAGAATGACTAAATGCAGGACTATACTTTTTATTTTACACTCTTAAGCGTTCTATTTCTCTCCTAATTGCCCTTATTTCGATTCAAAATACATTAGGAACACTAAAGATTATACTTCTTTCAGGGCTGCAGACCAATTTTTAGTGCAAAGTAACATGAGCAGCCACCATCTCTCACTCCGCCCCACCCTGAAGTCTGCCCTGACACAAGCTTCTCTTCCTGTGTCCATTTCTTCCCAGTTTTAATAGAGAGGAACTCCAACATTTCTCTAGTGTTCTTCCGTAATCAAGCAGTGCCATTAGATCTCATAGATGTTTCTTTCTGATAAATTAGAAAATTGGCCCCTCTCCTCTCCAAGACTTGGAGTCCAGTTTATTATGGTGAATTATGCCCATCTTGGGGCAAAGGTAATGAGTTTCTGGGTGGTTCCAATGTTACTATATGGTGGGTGGTCCACAGACTTCATTAACCCTTCATTGGGATCTTTTTAAAAATTTGTATCCCTGTAGGCCAGAAGAGAGTGCCAGATCTCATTACAGATGGTTGTGAGCCACCATGTGGTTGCTGGGAATTGAACTCAGGATCACTGGAAGAGCAGCCAGTGCTTTTAACCACTGAGCAGTCTCTCCAGCCTCCTCATTGGGATCAGTGAAATTTATGTCGATGTCCCATGACTTGCCCTTGGGGTCAGGAGAAGGATCAGGTCATTTGACTTATAGGATCTTGAGTCCCAGCTCTTTATTAAAATATCTAGAAGGAACATGAGTTGGATAAATCTCCAATGGACCAGGAATCCGACATCTGCCCTTACACAAATGGTCCCTAATCTGCTTCTCACACACACACACCCCAACCCCCACCCCGAGCTCAGACCTGAGAGCTCGAGAACCACCATGTTGATGTGACCATTCCTTCTCACTGCAGACCAAGTGGCGTGCGTTGTACCTTCAGAATGCCAGAAGTTCTGTGGCAGAGGAACCGGTTGTAGTGTCCTGGCTTATCCAATGCTGGTGATAAGAGTGATGCCTTCTGGTAAGAAGTGGGCCTTTCCACCAAGAGCTACATGACTCCACTGGAGTGACAGGTAGGAGTGAGAATGCCCGAGTGGCTTCCTCACCAGCCAGCCCATCATTCTGCACGTGGTTGCAATCTGCGTGTTGGGAGTGGTTAGCACTACCCAGGTAGGCGCCAAGGCCTTGGCCTTCTCTTTCCTTCTCACACTGGGAGTATACATCCTCATGGAGGCACAACCTACACACACGCCAGGTGTGTTATTTATGCTACCTGCTCGTTTCTTCAGAATATTGGTTCCATGCAGTGCAAGGCATTGTAAGCCCTAGAGTACAAACATGGGCGAGAACAGTACTGTCCTCAAATTGCTTATCATACATACAGTGAAGTTAAAGAGCCAGGCAGTGGCCTAGCAGTCAGGTGATCGGCATTAGGAGGCGGGCAGAGAGCCTTTGCTTGTACCTCACCTTCTTTTCCAGATCCCAGTAAAATGACAAATAAATGTGTGGGTTTTTTTTTTTTTTTTTTTCAAACAGTGTCTGTGTCAGCTCTGGAGAGCAACTTTTCCCATAAACTTCAGTACAGACTGAGGCAAATACTGACCATGCTACAGTCTGACTCTGATCTGAGCCTTGGCTCACGCCCTGTCCTAGGGCAGCCAGGGCTTAGGCTGAGAGTAGTGCTTGAAGGAGGGCAAATTCTGGATCAATCTGTGTCTTCCAGCCCTGAAGGGCCTATGAAAGTCAGTTGGGATACTGCCATGGCGGGCTTCCAGGTGAGGTTCTGGCCACCTTCAGATATCTTTAGACGTCGTACTATCTCCTGATAGCACAAAGAAATTGTTAAACAGAACAGTCCTCCTCACCAGGCAGCCTCCCAGGGAGTGGTACCAAGTTGTTATAGTGTTGAGTACCAAGTTTCTATAGTATTGAGTGAATGCCTCCTGTCCTTGGGCAGTGTGTGAACTCATCTGCTTACTTTGTACCATAACAGCCTCATGGTAGGTACCATAGCTCACTTCACCAATGAAGAGTTCAATTTCTTGCCTATAGCAAGGACTTCTCCAAGCTGGGGCACAAGCAGTGGTGTCCATTACACAGACCAACCTTCCAAGAAAGAGTAGCTCCCATTATTCTGTAAGCACATAGCAGGAAGCTATTACCCCCTCACAAACCAAGGACCCATGTGGCACAATGTCTTAAATAGAATATCACTCCAAGCAAAAGCTGCATGTTTTAAAGGTGTTTGGAAATGTTCCTTAGGAGAGCTGGCAGTCCAGGGAATATTTTCTCTGTCTTGCAGGCCTAAAAGGCTTTATGATGTCCACAGTGTGTGCCTCTGTCATGTCCTCCCTGACTTCCATCTTCAACAGTTCCAGTGCCCTGTTCACGCTGAACATTTACACCTGGATTCGGCCCACAGCCACGGAAAAGGAGCTCATGGTAGCTGGAAGGTGAAGTGTTCCAGTCACATTAGTCAGTAATGTCAGCAACTGTCTGAAAATAGGCTGTAACACTTGACACAGAATTATCCTTTTTTTTTTTTTTTTTTTGTCTGTGTGGCTGTGGGTTTATTTTTATGCAGCTTTGTAATGACAATGTAATGCTTTGATTATCACAAAGAATACTGTTTCCACGTGGTTAAAAAAAGAGTAATACTCATAATGATGATAAAAACGAGCCTCTCCTAAATATGCCATCGAGGGATATTTATATGAGCCGACCCATTATCTCACTTAATCCTCATGAAAACTGTTAAAGGCAACTTTCACTTTTCTTTCTTTTTAATTTTAAAAAAGATTTTCACTCAGTATATTCTGATCACACTCTTCTCCTCCTCCAACTCCTCCCATATCCTCCCCGTCTCCCTACTCACCCAACTTTTTGGCCTCTCTTTCTCTCTTTGTAAAACAAGCAGACAAAAAAAAAAAAAAAACAAAAAACAAAAAACAACCCAACCAAAATAAAACAAAACAAGAAACACAAATACACAACAAACACCACCCCCCCAAAACACAGAAAAAAAACGAAAGAAATGAAAATATAGAAGCAAAAGAAAAACAAGACAAAAAATTCCAAACAAGGGGCTGGAGAGATGGCTCAGAGGTTAAGAGCACCTACTGCTCTTCCAGAGGTCCTGAGTTCAATTCCCAGCAACCACATGGTGGCTCACAACCATCCGTTATGAGATCTGGTGCCTTCTTCTGGTATGCAGATACACATGGAAGCAGAATGTTGTATACATAATAAATAAATAAATACAATCTTTAAAAAAAATCCAAACAAAGCAAAATGAGACAAAAAGTCTAAAAAATATTACTCAGTTCCTTTTGTGTTGGCCATCTGCTGCTGGGCCTGGGGCTGACTGGAAGTGTAGTTAACATACCCAGTGAGCCTCCATTGGAGAAAACTAGTTTCCTTCACAAGAGGTCAAATGCAGAGAGCTTCTTGGTCAGGCGTGGGAACCAGTGTTGGCCTCCCCATCTCAGTGCTGGGGCCCCATCCGGATTGAACCTTGTAGACCCTGCGCGAATTGCCACAGTCTCTGTGACTTGTATGTTCATCAGTTAGTTCTTTTGTGTCTGGAGGATACTGCTTCCTTGGAGGCCATTCCCTCTGGCTCTTACACTCTTTGTGGCCCCTCTTCCACATAGATTCCCGAGTCCTGAGGGGAGGGCTCAATAAAGGCATCCCTTTCAAGACTGAGTGCTCCAAATCTCCCACTCTCTCCATATTGTCCAGCTGTGGGTCTTGGTGAGTTAAAGCCCATTTCTCACCTTCAGTTCCGTCAGATCCAGGGTATCTGGGCTCACGTTTAGGGTCCTCGATGCATTTGGAGCTGAGTTTTGTGTAGGGTGATAGATATGGATCTATTCGTTATTCTTCTGCATGTAGCATCTAGTTTGATGAGAACCATTTGTTGGAGATGTTGTCTTTCCTACACTGTGTATTTCTGGCTTCTTTGTCAAAAAATCAGGTGTTTTTGCATGTCTGTGTGAATAGTGTGCATGTGTATTTGCTCTCATGTTTGTGATGCTGATGCTGTTAGAGCAGGAGTTCTCACGGAACACAGAGCTCACCCCTTTGGCTGGTCTGGCTAGTCAATTTGATCCAGGAATTCCCCATTTCCCCCTCCCTCACACTGGGATCACAGGTGGGTTGCTAGGCCCACGTCGTAGTTTTTTATATGTGTTCTGGGAATCTGGACTCCAGCCTGCACTCGAATGGCATATGCTTTGGCCCAAGATTTCAGTTTTATGTTGCTAAACAATGTGAGAAAATGAGAAGAGGCTAAATGAAACTTAAATGTTCTAAGGTTCTGTCTAGATAGAGATATTAGAGACATGATAAAAGTAAAACTTGGGCCAGAGTACATCAATAATGCATTTAGTACTAAACCAAGCAATAAGAGAGTAGTTAAAGGATGTTTAGCAAGTTAATAGAAGGCAAATAGAGATTAATAAAATATTTGAGCAGTTCAAATTAAACACTGAAATGATGGGAAGAAGCCGACAGGTGGGTTAAGTTAAAAATTAGTAGGTGGCACATATAAAATCAAATTTTGTGTTAAAAAGCACAATAAAGCTGAAGGCATGACTACAGCAAAACTTTTTGCGAAGTACATGTGACCTCTTCCATAAAGATGGGTGTCTTAGGGTTTCTATTGCTTCGACAAAACACTATGACAGAAAAGCAAGTTGGGGAGGAAAGGGTTTATTTGGCTTACACTTCTGTAGTTTATCACTGAAAGAAGTCAGGCCAGGAACTCAATCAGGGCAGGAACCTGGAGACAGAGCTTTGGCAGAGGTCATGCAGGAGTGCTGCTTATTTGCTTGCTCTTCATGGTTTGCTCAGCCTGCTTTCTTGTAAAACCTAGGACCATCAGCCCAGGGATGGCCCCACCCACCATGGCCTGGGGCCTCACGCATTGATCACTAGTTGAGAAAATGCCTTACAGCTGGATCTCATGGAGGCATGTCTTCAACTGAGGCTCCTTTCTCTCTGATGACTCTAGCTTGTCTCAAGCTGACACATGAAGCCAGCTAGTACAATGCTTTCTAGATTGACTACCTATGACATCTTAAGGGACTGGGGAGAAGATCTGTTGTCTTGGTCACACAGATAGCACAAAGGTGTAAAGTACCTATTTGTAAAGTACCTGTGATATCTACCATAAAGATGTGTTCCATTGACTGAAAACAATATTGAAGATAATGTTCCAGGGAGGATGATTGAGATAAACAAGAGTCTGGGGGAGACAGGCGTGGCTTGGCTCTACACATAGAACAAATGTCACCAGGCTGCTAACCACATCCATTCCCAGTCTCCTAGGCAGAAGACAGGCTATATACATCACCTTCTTTGAAGAAGAAACCCTGTGTGTTTAATATTCCTGGATCCCCTAGTGCTTATCTGTGAGCACAAGGATCTCGTGCCCCCAGCAGATTGAGTTAAAAATTTCAATAGCATCCATCTCTTTGATTCCTGTCACATACTATGTTATGTGACAGGCTGGGGAAAGGCATTCCAAGCAATTGGAACTAGGAAGTAAGAAGGTGTTACTATTCAAACGGAATAGACTTGAAACCAAAATTAATCCGAAAGAATGAAGAGGGTCATTTCATAATGATGAAGAGATGGACCTTGGTGAACTTAACTTCATAAAACAAACACCACTAGATGTAAAGAAACAAATTAGTCTCGACTTAATAATGTAGGTGACTTCAGTAGTCCAGTCTCTCCAGAGGCAGCACACTGAGAAACATCTCATTTAAATGACATCATTGACATTTGTAGTACATTTCTTCCAAACACTGAAGAATATAAATTCTCAGCAGACCACAAAACTTCCCCTAAAATAGACCATAATTACAACAACAGTAGTAGAAATAATAAATGTAAGCAACTAAGGAAAAGCTACCTAGTTAGGATTTGTAGGTATTTTTTGCAGGAGAAAAAAATCTTCAAATTCTCACTGAGTGTTGGTTTGATTCACAGGTTTTTTGTTATAGTCTTACTTGCTATCACCATTGTCTGGATCCCCACTATAGAAATGGTATCCAGTGAGACACTGTTTGAGTTCATGCAGGTTCTTAAGAGCTGCCTGACACCAAGCGTGACTGCTGTCTTTCTGCTGGCTGTATTTTGCAAGAGAGTCAACGAGAAGGTGGGTACTCCCATGGAATGGTGTGAAGGGGATGTCTTCACACTGTGGATGTCTTCATAAGCACTGCCTTAGGGAGGGGGGTCTCTTAGGTATCAAGAGTTCACCAGAGGTCATTGTTTGGTTAAAGGGAAGGTTTTTTATTTAGATATGAGAGAGAACAGCCAGAGGCATCTGGAAGAGTCCAGAACATTTCAAGAATAGCAGGGTTATAAAGAGAATGAGCAGCTGGGGGAAGGAACCACTGAGGCGATTTTAGGGTAGGGGAGATGAGAAGGGCTAAGATGGTAGCATGGACTCTGAAATACGTACCAGGACTCATGATGCTGAGGGAGTCTGGAGGCCAGCGTGAGCTTTGAGAGGCTAACAGGCACCACAGGTAGCCATATGCCTGTTCAGTCAGCTGTAAGGGAAATGACTGCTTTTGGTAGAGGGGAATCAGCTCCTCAAGTTTCTGAGTGAATGAAAAAAAAAAAAGAAATAAAAAGTAAAGGACATGACTGCTCCTAGGTTTGGTGGAGGTGAAAGTTTATTGTAGATAAAAGGGGGAGCATAGGGCTGGAGAGATGGCTCAGAGGTTAAGAGCACTGGTGGCTTCTCTTACAGAGGTCCTAAGTTCAATCCCCAGCAACCACATGGTGGCTCACAACCATCTGTAATGAGATCTGGTGCCCTCTTCTGACCTGCAGACGTACATGCAGACAGAACATTGTATACATAATAAATAAATCTTTAAAAGAGTCTGTAAACAAGAAGGGCCTAGGCCCTTCCCCAAATGATATGACAGACTTTGAAGGTCCCCCATGGAGGGCCTCACAACCCTGGGGAGGAGTTGGAGGAGTTGCGGGGCCATTGGGGGTTTGGTGGGGAACATGGGAGGATGGGAGGGCAAGGGAATGGGGGGGTGATGGGTATGTAAATATGAGTAGTAATTAAAGAATAAAAAAAAGAAGTCTGTAAAAATACAGATTTTAGGGGCTGGAGAGATGGTTCAGAGCTTAAGAGCACCGACTGCTCTTCCAGAGGTCCTGAGTTCAATTCCCAGCAACCACATGGTGGCTCACAACCATCCATTATGAGATCTGGTGCCCTCTTCTGGTGTGCAGATATACATGGAAGCAGAATGTTGTATACATAATAAATAAATAAGATCTTTAAAAAAAATACAGATTTTAAAGGGGGGTGTGTGGAGCACAAACAGTGAGAAACAGCTGGGAGAGTCCAGAGTGGGCATGACCAGACTGAGCTGGGCCATGGGAGGAGAGGGGAAAGGGAAGGAAGAGGGGAGACAAGAACCAGGGGCAGTAGCCAGGAGGACCAAGAGGAGGGGTAACAATAATGGCTGGGTTATATAGGGAAGGGCAGCCCAGCACCCTGGGCTGGAGAGTTCAGGGTAGGGGGCAGGGTATGTTAGTAACAGGTAGGAACTGAGGGATGCCGGGAGAAGCTGGCAGCCAGGTCTAATTTGATGTATTAAAAGGGCACCTCCACCATTTGTCCTGGGTTTGAGACATGCTGTCTTTTATCTAACTGCCAGAAATCCCCCCCTAGTCTAGATTGAGTTCATTTCTGGATATTCAGACTGCCTTTTGGGGTTTGGGGACTTGGAATTTCCTTTGGACCTGACACTTTGAAGACATAATTAGTATGAGCTCTCATGTTTTTTATTGCCTTTAAGATTTTTTGAATCGTGTCTTCAACTTTCTTGTTACCCTGGACAGAAATGAGCAGCAAGGCCTTACACAAGTTCCCATGCACATACCCAAGGGCATTGTGACCCTGCCCTTTCCGTGCACAGTCCACAGGTCCAGGCTGCTCCAAACTAGTGACTGCTGAAATATCTTCTACTCCCTTGACCTTCATGGACTGCTTGCTTTGCCAGGACTGCATCTTGACTGCTCCATCTGGTTGAGGCTCAGGTGCTGAATCCCTTAGACCACCTGCCAGTCCGCCCAGGTCACAAAGACTTAATTTCATAGCAATAGTGTCAGAGGATCAACTTGGTCCCCAGAATTGCTTTGCTTTGCTCTCCTTGGTAAGAGATGGGCAGGAGGGGGAGGCAGTCATGGACGTCTACCTCTTTCTCATGACAAAGACCTGGGGACATTGGGACATCCCCAAAGCTCTCCTGCTGGCTGTCCCTGGCTCAAGGTTGCAGGTATATTGCATACACTTTCAACACCTCTGGTAACCTGAAGCACTTTTCCAGACCCCGGTTCCCTCCTACCCACTTTTGGATGGTGTAGTCACCTGCTTTCTGCATAGCTCCTTCAGGAAGTAACTTCTGTGGGTTCTCTGCTTGGCCCGAAGCTGAGCCTTTCCTCTGTGATGCTTCTCTGCATTCAGACCCTGTCTTATACCCATCCCAACTTGAAAGAGTTTCTAGATACAAGTCTTGGACCAAGATCTAGTCCTTACTCTTCCAAAGTGAACAGTCTAACTGGGGGATGCAGATGACACCAAATGAGCAGATAAATCTTTGTGGTAGTAACACAGAGTATTTAAAAGTATTTAAAAGAATGTAAGGTGTGGGGCGTTGGTGGCTCACACCTTTAATCCCAGCACTCAGGAGGCAGAGGCAGGCGGATCTCTGTGAGTTCGAGGCTAGCCTGGTCTCCAGAGCAAGTGCCGGGATAGGCTCTAAAGCTACACAGAGAAACCCTGTCTTGAAAAAAAAAAAAAAGTAAGGTGGGGAGGGAGGAATGGGATGGGGTGAGAGAGCTTCACTTGTTAAGAGAATAGAGAGATGATCACAAGGATACTAAGCCTTCACTTTCCAAAGGAGCAGAGGGGTTCGGCTTTCTTGGAGAAGACTGACACCCTGCTAGCTCACTCCAGTTACTTTATTCAAACATATACAAGGTTAATACAAGGCGGGGAAAGGTTCTAACCACCTAAGTCATCTTGCTCTTGCTGCTCATGAGAGCAGACAACCCACACAAATCCCAGGCCCTTTTGATTATGGCAGCCATAAGCAAGAGTAAGAACTCCTGTTCAGCCAGGAGTGTCTTAGGACCCAGGCTTGTGTAGCTGCAAGCTCTCATGTAGCACCAACTGCAGCTCCTCCAGAGAGAGAACACTTTTTCAAGACTTAACAGTCTCAAAACAAGGCGTTGCTGCATCCTGTCTCTCAAAGCCAGACACATAGACTTTACTTACATAACACTACACACTAGCTAATTATACAAAGGCCTTCCTATACATTTCCCTTAAAGTCAGACACACAGGCTTTACTTACATATCACTACACATTTGCTAATTTTATGTCAACTTGACAGTAGCTAGAGTCATCAGAGAGGAGGGAGCCTCAGTTGAAAAAAAATGCCTCCATAAAATCAGGCTGTAGGCAAGCCAATAGGGCATTTTCTTAATTAGTGATTGATGGGGGAGTCCCCCCTCACTGTGGGCAAGGCTATGCCTGGGCTGGTGGTCCTGGGTTCTATAAGAAAGCAGGCTGAGCAAGCCATGATGAACAGGGCAGTAAGCAGTACTCCTCAAGGCCTCTGCATCATCAACTCCTGCCTCCAGGTTCCTGCCCTGTTTGTGTTCCTGTCCTGACTTCCTTTGATGATGGACTCTCATCTGGAAGTATGTGCCTTTCCTCCCCAAGCTGCTTTTGGTCATGGTGTTTCATCATAGCAATAGTAACCCCTCTAAGATAGACACATACACATAATTAAAAGTAATGAAAGTAAGTATTTTAAAAAGAGGGCTGGAGAGATGACTTTAGCAGTTAAGAGCTCTGGCTGCTTTTTTGGAGGTCCTGAATTCAATTCCCAGTAATCACATGGTGGTTCACAGCCATCTAAAATGGGACCTGATACCCTCTTCTGGCATGCAGCGATGAGGCTTGATCCTGTTGGGTAAGGACAAAATGCATAAATAAATAATCATAAATATTGTAAAAAGAATATAAAAGATCATGAAGATTGCAGGGTGGCCTGAGAGTGGGGGACAAACCAGGACACAGCTCAGCGGGAGACCTCTGCTAAGGAAGTGGCCTGGAGTCAAAGCCAGAAACACCAACATGTGGGGAGAGTTCTAAGCAGACAAAAAGGGAAAGTGCAAGAACTCAAGCTGGAAGCAAAGTGGGAAACTGGTAGGTGTAGAAGCAGCCTGAGAAGGAAGGAGGGGAGTGACCAAGCAGGAAGTAGGGGAGCTGGGTGAGGTCAGCCATAATGCTGCGGTGAGGCCTGACCCTGATGGCAGGTGCTGAGAAGTCACTGGAGAGTCCAGGACGAGGCTTGGCATTCTCTAGTAGAAGATGCTGCAGAGTCAGTGGATAGTTAGGAACAAGGTTACCCACCCCCCCGTGAGAAAGATGGGGGTGAGGGTCATGGTAAGGGACCGGATTCTAAACCCACTTTGGAAGCAGAGGCCAACAGGATTTGCCGAGGGATAATGGTAGAACAACGTGGAAAGGGAAGAGCTGGAGGGGGCTCCTGGGTTTGACTTGAGCATCTCGGAGTTGGGCTCCCACTTAGGGAAACAGGGAAGATGAAGCTCTTTATTGGACACAGTTTGATATGACTATTCATAGTCTCAGTTAAGTGTTTCCAATTTTTCCCAAGCCCCCCCCCCCCCCGTTCTATGTAAGAGACAGTGCCAGGGTCTGGCATCCCCTCATTACATCAAATTTAACACTAGAGCCCAGCTCATCAGCAAGGGGAGGAAGATGCCACTTTGTCTCATCTCCCTCTGCCACTGTAACTCTTGTCTGGCTTCTTTGGCAGGGTGCCTTCTGGGGGCTGATATTGGGGACATCAATTGGCATCTTCCGACTGGTGGCCGAGTTTTCCTATGGACACACGACCTGTGAGGGAGGCAGAAAGTGCCCCCTATTCATCTGTAGCCTCCATTACCTCTATTTTGGCTTTTTAGTTTTCCTCATTACTCTCCTCGTCGTACTGGCCATCTCCTTAGCCACAAAACCAATTGCTGATAAACATGTAAGTGCCACTGTTGGGGTGCTCGGGGAAGAGTCCAAGCAAATGGTAAATCACAAATGAGGAGGACTATGGGGGGGAGAGTAGATCAGAAATGGGCAAAGTACCACAGAAAGGATCCTGCCTTAGGAACATAAGAAGTGGGGCTGGAGAGATGGTTCAGAGGTTAAGAACACTGGCTGCTCCTCCAGAAGTCCTGAGTTCAGTTCCCAGCAATCACCTGGTGGCTCATGACATCTGTAACGGGATCTGGTGTCCTCTTCTGGCATGCAGTCAGAACAAACACTATACAAAAAATAAATCTTTCTTTCTTTTGTTTTTGTTTTTTTTTGTTTTTTTGTTTGTTTTTTTGGTTTTTTTGTTTTTGTTTTTGTTTTTTTGTTTTTGAGAAGTGCTTTTCTGCGAAACAGTCCTGGGATTAAAGGTGCATGCCACCACAGCCTGGTTCGAAATAAACCTTAAAAACCAACCAGCCAACCAAAAGACATGAGAGGCTGGGGTTGAGTCCTTGCGTACCATCCCCAGCACCACAAGACTAGCAATAATAAGCAAAAGCTGTTTATTGCTCTCAGTTACACACCCATTTAGTTTGAGAGACTTACACACACACTCCCCCCCCCACCCGCCAGGAGGCAAGTGTCAGTCATCTGTTTTATATATTTATTAGAAAGCTTGGACTCAGAGAAGTTAAATAACTTGTCCAAGGTAAAGAAACTGTCAAGTGTCCTTATTAGGCTCCGAAGCTTGAACTGGCTCCACTTTGTCACCTACTTTGTTTGGTACCCTAGCACAAAAAGGAATTGGTATTGGCGGTGGTGGGGGTCCTGGGCATCTATCTGACAACCAGGAGGACGAATCACAGATGGGGATGAGGATGCAAGACCAAGGACCTTGCTTGCAGCTTTACCTAGTCTGAGCAAAAGGGTGAGTGCTAGTATCAAAAGTTGAGTTAGGGGCTGGAGGTTAAGAGCACTGGCTGCTCTTCCAATTCAATCCCAGCACCCACACGGCAGCTCACAATTGTCTGTAACTCCAGTGCCAGGGGGTCTGATGCCTTCACACCAATGCACATAAAAAAGTTAAACAGATTATTAAAAAAGAAAAAAAGTAGCTTGAAAAAAGTTGAGTTAGCGATGGCAGAGATGGAGGACTTACACGTTTATAGCAAATGCCAAGACAGCCTAGGTTACTTAGGGAAAACTTATTTTAAAAAACCAAGCAAGCAAACAAACAAACAAAAAAACCAAAACCAAAACAAACCAAGATGAGCCTATATGGAAGCCTGTAAGCCTTAGGTATCCCCAGTCTACTCTTCTTCCAGACCCAGTCCATTTGGACTGGGTGGTGAGGTCAGGATGCTCACATCCCTGCATCATCAGGAGACAGACCCCTGCTCCCAGTGCCTCAGGTGGCTGTTTCCTATGGCCCAGGCTCTTCATCCTTCATCCTGTTGGCAACTTGTTGTTTTTGGTCCTCTTCTTTCAACCCATGTCCATTCCTCAGTTTGTCAGCTAAGTATGTGCTGACTGTCTCTCTACAGGCTTCACAGGCTTACTGAGCTCTGTTAGAGACAAAGGAGCTGTCTAGCAGGGAGGGAGCTTAGAAGGTCAGTGACAATGGGCCCTGCATTGGCCTGAACCCTCCCAACGCAGAACCTCTGATCATATAACCTGGAGAAATGACACTTATGCCCTCAACTCAGACAAGCTCAGGAGCCCGAAGATACTGCCAAGTGTTGAACATAAGCCCTCCACACACCCAGAACCCTGTTCATGAGAGGCTGTCGTGCTGCTAGGCAGGTAAAATGTCTCGTACAGTGTCATCAGGTCACCATGCCAAATTTTGTGTGGTGTTGGGGATCAAACTGAGGGCTTCCTGCATGCTAAGCAAGCAGTCTAAACAACAGAGCTACGCCTCCAGCCCACCAAAAATGTTCTTGAAAGAAATGGTTACGAAAGGAAAGAGAGTGCTCCTTGGGCAAGTGAAGAATTCTATTGAACTTGAGCAGGTGAGCTTCCTTCCTGGGGCCAGGCCGGGGGATTCACCCATCCTAGCTCATGTCACTGTCCTCTAATGGCCCATGGAGGGCTTCTGGGATGACAGCAGCTCTGATCTTTCATGATGTCCTGCTCGGCAAGAAGCCAGTGCTCCCCCTCACTGTCAAGAGAGGTAGACCAGAAGTGGTGGGTAGGGCCTGGAGAGATGACTCAGTGGTTAACAGCACTGTTTCCTCTTCCAGAGGACCCAGGTTCAATTCCCAGCACCTACATGGCAGGACACAACTGTCTGTAACTCCAGTTGAAGGGAATCGGACACCCTCACACAGACATACATGCAGGCAAAACATCAATGCACATAAAACAAATATACATCAATGCACATAAAATAAAAATAAATCAGTACTAGGTGGTGATGGCATACTCCTTTAATCCCTGCACTCAGGAGGCAGAGGCAGGCAGATCTGTGTGATTTTGAGGCCAGCCTGGTCTATAGAGTGAGTTCCAGGACAGCCAAAGCTAAAAAAGAAAAAAAAAAAAAAAGTGGGTAGCTTCTCCTATCCTCCAGGCAGTGTGAGAAATGCATGTTCCCGGTCCTTCCAAATACAAAGATCCCTGAACTCATTGTCTCCAACCTTTGGCTTTAGACTAAAGAACACTGACAGGTTGTGCTAAGGTCACACAATAACACATGACCTGAACCAAAGCATAAACCCAGGTTTCCCGGCTCCTGTCACCACCCCTCTAACCTAACCCCTACCTTCTGTTAATGTCTGACAAGTCATTTCCCTTTTCAGCCTACTGGGACATGGCTCTCACTCTGTAGGCTGTGGTGATCTATGCCTGCAGGCCAAGGTCCCATGATGACACCCTCCCAACCTGCTCTCTCCACACCCAGCTCCTTGGTCTCTGCTGGAGTTTACGTAACAGCCCACAGGGCAGGGAGGCTTTAGCGAAAGCATTGAGATGGAAGACCTGCTCCAGCGCCACACTCCAGCAAGGTAATGGTGACCATGCCCCAGCCGTGGGAAGCAGTCCTGTGTGGACCCTGAAGCTGTATCAACTGCCCACGCACCTCCTCGAGGGGAGGGAAAAGAAGAAAGAGGTCAGGCCACAGTTATGGGGAAGCTAGGTGATGAGAAACAGGCAAGGGGGAAGGAATCCAAGAATGTCTGGCGTTCTAGAAACATTTCACAGCAAGGGATGCTGGGTGAAATCTCAAGAACCAGCCCTTGGGTTTTGCCCCGGCAGATACATGGTGTGCCTCCAATAGAGCAGGTGAGAGTGTGGTCTGTGAGGGGAATAAGAGTGTGTCAGAGAAGGGCAACAGTACAGAATTCTAAAGCAGAGGCTCCTGAGAAGGTGCAAGGAGGGAGGGGACACTTCCCCACCTGGAAGAACTAAGTTTTAGTCTGAGGAAGATGGAGAGAGTCCCTGGTGGGGGGAGGGGGGAGTTAAAGCCTGAGGTTCAACTATGGCCATCTGCTGGGATCCAGTTCTGACTGAAATGGGGTTACCCTGTTCCCAGAGTGGCTGGAAGGTCACACTCTAGGCAGTGGTTAGGCCCGGAGCAGTGGGATAGAGCTTAACGTGGTGCTGATCCCAGCCAGCAGAGGCTCTGAGGGGCCAGCCTGCACCATGAGTGCAGACAGACACTGGGGTAATACGCAGCTCCAGTTAGGAGTCCTGGAGAAAGGAATGGCAGCCTTCTGAAGTTACCAGGCTCCCCTTCCGGACAGCCGTAGGATGTTCCTCCAGGGCCCAGGTATCTGCAGATGCTCTGCTGGCCAAGCAGAGGACTAGAGCTTCCTGGAGAAGATACACCTCCGATGTTACTGAAGAGAATGATGTCTGTTTCCAGGACCCACAGGGTTTCCTCTGGCCTCCAAAGCATAATATAATGACCTCATAGGAGGGGGGCACACAGAGGAGCCGCCACCACTTGCCCTAGACCTGCAGCCATGAGGATGATACTGTAACATCATATTGGCATATGTAACATAGTGTGTTACATTTCTGTGACACTTACTTGTACGACCTAATCAAGAGGATCTGGGCACAACTCCAAGCTTCCAGCCCACTCAACACTTCCTAAGCCCCTTTCTTCCCCTCTGTCTCATTGTTTTCTCTGAGAACTTTCCTTGGATAGGCTGACAATGGGCTTTCATATCACACGTTCAAGGAGCTTCACCCTGGTGAGGGGGACCTCCCTTTCAAGTCCTACCCTCTGCTTGTCCCCTGACCTTCTGCTCCCTCTCTTTCAGGTATGTTTGGGGAGGCCCAAAGCTGCTTCTGGAAGTCCTGGGACTTGTGCTGTGGTCTTGACAAACAGCCAAGCTCCAAGATAGGCCCCGACAATGCTAATGAGGAGAAGCCAGGGACATCCTGGGAGCGTTTGGGGTCCAGTGAGTTGTCAGCTGACTTAGAGGCTCTGGCCAGGAGAATTGTAAGCAGACAGGAAGAGGAGCACAAAGAGAAGTTAAGAGACTGGAGTGACACGCCGGAGAGCCCCTTCTGGAAGAGAGTTGTCAATGTCAGCGGGATCATTTTGTTTGCACTTCTGATTCTTGTTCATGTCTATTTTGCTTGATGACTCGGGGATTGTGGCCTTCCCTGGACCGCCTCATCGTGAAGGGATGAAGTGTTTCCTTTAGAGAGACCCAACAAGATGGGACCAAAGGCCACACCAACGAAAAGCGCCCTCTCACAGTAACAGCTGTGGTGCATGCATGGCCGAGTGACAGAGGACGACCCTGTATTTACAGACTATGTCAGTGGGAACATCTGTTCCTCTCAGACATGAGTCATTCTCTCTAAATGACTGCACTGTATAAACACTGGATTTCCTTTCAAATGTAATGTTATTGTTGTTGTTGTTGTTGTTTTTATCTGTGAGAGTTCTGAGTTTTAACACACACACACACACACACACACACACACACACACTTTGCTTGTGTCAAACTGTCAGCACCTCTTTGCCATCTCCACTCAGGACCGCTTTGCTGTGTCCTCATCCTGAAGGCACAGCCCAGATCAAATGACACCAGTAGTGCAAGTCCAGCCCCACCCTTACCGTGGGCTTTGGCCCACAGGTGTTGGGCCAGTGCTGGTGATCACTCAGGCCAGGGAGCAACAGCTGCCTCCTTCAGCTGGGTAAGCACTGCTCCAAAAGAGTTGGTCTCATGCCACTTGCCACCAGTTGACTTCTGCTGCATGGATCCCTAGAGGACAGAGGAAGGGCACACTCCTTACCCATGAGCTCCCCCGAGCCACACCCCAAGTCTGACAGTAAAAGAGGGGCCTATGGGTAAGATTAATTTTAGCCAACAGGTCCAGACACCCCTGGGCTATGTCACTATGGGAATTTCCTAACTTTCTTTTTCCTCTTCTTGCTTCTTGGACCATAATAAATAATCCACGTCTTTTGCAAAACTTCCAGGTGTCTTGAAGTGACCTGGGGGAGGCCCACTCAGAATTGTGAGAATAACACTCTCCGGGTATACTTACATACCCCGTCCCTCACTCATTCCTTGATACTTCAGCTGACAGTTCTGAGGGCCAGCTGAGTCCCCCTCCCCCGATATGTTATGCCTTGTTAGAAATAGGCATGGGGTCCAAAGACAATGACCACACAATCTGAAGTATTTCCACAAGGCAAAAGTTTTACTTCTGTAGATGAATGAACAGATGTATTTCAGCAAGAAGGCCACCCAGCAGGGGTCCTATGCCACACTGACTGGTCAGAACCTTGCCTCACATTCTTTATGTAACTGACTAATTCAAGTGCAACTTCTGAGACTGTGATTCACCCCTGAGCACATGCTTTGATTAAAAAACAATGCAGACTCAGCGAGGGATTTTTTGCTGGTGGTGTCTTTGCAAACGTCTTTAAAGGGAGACCTTCCTTTGCCTACATTTAATCCTTTGGTAGGAAAGATAGTCCACATCATTAGCATTTCTCCTAATGCCCCCCTTTATAACACAATTCAATTTTTTTTTTAATTTATTTTGTATTTTAAGAACCATCTCTTCAGGAGAGATGGCTCAGTGGTTAAGAGCAAAGGCTGCTCACTCAGAGGACCCGGGTTCAGTTCCCAGCACCCACGTGGCAGCTAACAGCTACTTGTAACTCCAAGATCTGACACCACCCTTGCACAGACATGCACGCAGGCAAGAAACTGATACACATAAAATAAAAATAAATTTTTAAAAGATTGGCAAAGGCCGAGCGTTGGTGGTGCACACCTTTAATCCCAGCACTCCGGAGGCAGAGGCAGGCAGATCTCTGTGAGTTCGAGGCCAGCCTGGTCTCCAGAGTGAGTGCCAGGATAGGCTCCAAAGCTACACAGAGAAACCCTGTCTGGAAAAACCAAACCAAAACAAAACAAAACAAAAATAAAAACCAAAAAACAAACAAAAAGATTGGCAAAGAATCTAAAAACAAACAAAAAACTCATCATTTACTAGTTCCTTGAGAATTTTAAGATATATTTTGAGCATATTCACTTAACTCCGCTAGTTGTCTAACTCCTTCCAGATTCGCTACAGCTTCCCTACATGCTCAACTTTGCATCCTCATTTTAGTTTTTTAAACCATCAAGTCCACTTAGTACTACCTATATAGTCTTAAATGTCAGCTCACCAGGAGATATAACCGCTAGCACTGCAGCTGGGATGGAAAGGGATCCTGGCAGTCAGGAGCCAAGGAATGCCACAAAGTTACCATAAGTGTGGCAGCTTATAGCCCTGCTCCAGGGACAGGTTTCCCCAATGCAATACCGCTGTTCTCGCAGGGGAGGGCATCCCCAGCGAAGTTGTTACAGTTCATGTCTGGTCCCTGGAGTGTAACAACTCCCTTCCCCCAGGGAAGGGTTTCCCCAGGGAAGTTGTTACAGTTGTGTCTTGGTCCCCCAGAATGAGTGTAACAACTCCTTTTCTCCAGGAGAGGGCTTCCCCAGGGAAGTTGTTACAATTCTGCTCAGGTCCCCATGAATGTAACAATTCTGCTTGGCTAGGGGAAGGTTTCCCCAGAGAAAGTGTTAAAATTCTGCTCTGCTCTGGCTTCAGGGAAAAATAGTTACTTCCTTGTTTTGCTCCATTCTGGTCTCGACCAAACCTCGTTCAAGAGATTTATTGGGAGGGAGGAATCTGGGAGTGTGGTTGTCTCTGCCAGGGTGGAAAAGGGCAGTTCTCAACTGAACAGGTATGGGGGCTTATGTAGGGTTTCTTAGAGGGTGAAGATTTTCAGGGTGGGAATTGGTGGGATTGCAGGCCCTCAGTTTGGACAAGCTCAGAGATTGACTGGATTTTGTGCTCAGTGATTGGCTGGTGTGTGTGTGTGTGTGTGTGTGTGTGTGTGTGTGTGTGTGTGTGTGTGAGTGTATGTGTGTGTGTCTGTGCGCGCGCACACTGAGCTGGTCAGGGACAGAGTATATTTCTTTGGCTCTGGTTTCAGGGTGAGGGTGTGCTTCTTTGACTGGTTCTGGTTGCAGGGTCAGGATGTGTTTCTTTGGCTGGCCCTATAATAACCATAAAGAAAATTCACTTTTCTTTCAGAAGCCATTAGTTGCCAATAGTTCCTCAGGTAGGGGTTGAACTCTGTGCCCAATTCTTCCCTCTATGCTAGGATTCTGTCTGGCTTAAGGTCATATCCATAAGCTCATGTGCTCAACTGTCCAGAAAATAATGTTTTGTGGTAGTTAGCCACTGCCTTAGGCTCTTAGAATTTTCCCACCCCCTCTTCTACAATGATCCCTGAGCCTTGGAAGGAGAGGGTATGATGCAGTTGTTCCACTTAGAGCGAAGCATTCTGTAGGGTCTTATTCGCCGTGTTAATCACCATTTGTAGCAAGAAAAAGCTTCTCTGATGAGGGCCGAGAGATGCAGTCTATGTGTGTTAACTGTTCTAAAACCATTGGGACCTGGGGGAATGGAGCCTAAAAATGAGGTGGACTAAAGTCTTATGCATTAGCCAACTTTATTCAAAGCATCAGCCAATTTACATGAGTAAAGTGTACGACCACAAGGACAAGCTGCATATGGCAAAAACATGTTTTTCCATAAACCAAAGCCAGTTGTAATGAATACTGTAAACTCACTCTTATCTGCTATACCTGGGAGGGGCATGAAAACCTATTCCAAGAACAATTGGGTGTTTTTAAAGAAACTGAGGTCACAAGACTTACGTCTTGTTTTCTTATAATTTCCTCACTAGCACTCGGAATTCTCACACTACTTCTTTCTTGGACCATGTTCCAACATTTGGGTAAAGTGAGAAATCATTAGGAGTCAGTTTAATATTGTGTCCACTGAGCAGCATAATAATGGCAGGCTCTCCACTAGGGCCAACGTCCTATCTAGCCATAGTTTCTTAGCCTGACAATTGCCAGGTAAGGGTTCTGTCTTGTGAAGCAGGACTTAAATTCAGTCAGAAAATGACTGCTTACTGTAGGGAGACACCCCAGCCCCCCCCAATAGTCATGGGACAGGTGTCAGGTGGACCCGGGACTCGCCCATAAGGGCGTGGTGATGGAAATCCGGTGTGATGTAAGGGAGCTTTATAAGGGCTGCACCGAAAGACCCTAGCTCTTTCTGGCCGCGCTTGCTGGGTTCCTGTAATCTCTCTCTGGCCTGCGTCTTGCCCTGGTGTTTTCTTGATTAAAGAGACTTCACCATCCCGGATCACAGTTCATCTTTGGCGCATGTTCAAACCCTAACAGCTTACACCCATGATGTTTGTGCCTCTCTTGCGCCAGCGAACACATCTGTAACGTGAGCTTTCTCTCCCCAGACATTATATTAATTATGAAACTGTTGGCCGGTGACCATGGCTTCTTATTGGCTAGCTCTGTCTTTTTTATTAACCCATAACTACTAAGTATTTCCATGTGGTCTTATCTTACTGGAGAAAGGTCCAGGGACCTCTTACTACTCTGTCATCCTGCATCTCAACCGTTCAGCATCTGCAGAGAGAAGAGAGCAATTTCCTGTTTGTCCCTGCTTATATGCTGACTCTGCACGGCTACATCACTTCCTGGGATCACGTGACGACTCCTCCCTGCCTACACTTCCCAGAATCCTCCTCATATCCTAGTCCCACCTATCTTGCTCCCCTATTGGCTAACAGTGTTTTATTCATCAACCAATAAGACAAACATATACACAGAAGAGCATTCCCCATCACACATCTTGTCAGACCAGGCAGTATTGTAGCTCTCAGGGCTCACAGATGGATAGACCTGATGATTGCTTTCTTCCCCTTCTAGCTTGCCTTGCATCGAACATTAGAGTTCCGTGAAAGCTAACCAGTGGGGATGAAGCTTCCAGATCAGCACAAGGTGATTTCCCCATGTTCTCTGACTCAAGTGTGTGATATCTTAGCAATATGGTCTTGCTGTCAAGTTCTGGGAGATAATCAAAGGCATTGGCAATGGCCTGTCATGTTCAGAGTCTGTGGGACCTCACTAGACAATAACTCTAAAAGAGGTACTCTGTCCCCGGCCATGGTGTTTAGTCTGAGTATTGTTACCCCATTATAGGGTAACTCCATTTAAACTGCTTTTATATACAAGCATGGATATACTTTTAGGA